ACCCCAGGCTCTTGGGCTCAAGTGATCTTGCCTCAGCGTCCTAGGTAGCTGGAAATATAGGCACCTGCCACAATGCCTGGCATTTTTTTAGAAACAGGGTTTCCTCCTCTTGCTCACGCTGGTCTTGAACTACTGAGATCAAACAGTTCACCCCCCTCAAACACCCACAGTGCTAGGATTATATTCATGAACCACTGCACCTAGCCTTCTTGCCTGTGCTTTTGATGTTATATTGCAGAATTTCTTTCCATGCTCAACAGCTGCCACAATGCCCGGCTGTTTTTTGGTTGCAGCCGTCATTGTTGTTTGGTGGGCCTGGGCTGGATTCGAACCCACCAGCTCGGGTATATGTGGCTGGTGCCTTAGCTGCAGGGGCTAAGCCAGTGGTGTCAAATTTTGTCTAATACTTTTTCTTCATCAATGGGATGATCATGTAGTTTTTTTGTCTTTTGTTATTAATATGACATTTTACATTATTTAACTTCCTTTTGTTGATCTACTCTATACTCCAGGAGTGAATCCCATTTGGTCATGTTATATGAATCATTTAATGTGTTGTAAAATTTTCACATTTAATGCTTGTCTCTTTATCTTTCCTTGTCTTTTCTCTTTTCTCTCCTCCCCTCCCCTCTTCTTTTTTTTTTTTTAGACAGTCTCATTATGTCACCCTCATAGTAGAGTGCTCTCCGCCACATATCCTATGAGCGCTATGATATCACAGCTCACAGCAACCTCAAACTCTTGGGCTTAAGCAATTCTCTTGCCTCAGCCTCCCAAGTAGTTGGGACTATAGGTGCTTGCCACAATACCTAGCTATTTTTTTTTACTGTAGTTGTCATTGTTGTTTAGCAGATCCGCAGCCCTTGTTTAGCAGATCCGCAGCCCCAGTGTATGTGGCTGGCGCCCTAACCACTTAGCTACTGGTGCTGACCCTCTTCTCTTCTTTTCAAGGTGGGGAAAAGGTCTTGCTATGTTACCCAGGCTGGTGTTGAACTCTTGACCTTAAGCGATGCTCATGCTTTGGCCTCTCCAATAGCAGGGACTACATTAGTGCACCACCACGCTCAGCTGTTTTATTAGCCTAATATAGAGAAATGTTGGCCAACTAAACTTAGAACAATTCATACATCACAGTGTCCTATACATGCTGAAATGCACACAAGCCAAAATGATGTTAATTCATGCAAAACATTATGTTATTGAGAGACAACTCTGTATCAGTTAATTTAAGAGTATGTGTGTTCCTGCAGGCACTGCATGGATGAGGAAGTATTTTCATGAAACACCTTATAATTTAATTAATATATTTTATATTTTAACTGTTAAAATTATGTCTTCACTGGTATCAGTGACCTTAAATTAGTTCTACACTATCATGTTAATGAGTTAAAATAGTCGTAAGAACAGTACTGTAGTATTTGCTTGAATGTGTCTGAATACATAGTGACCTTTTATGAAGTTCCATGTCCTTATCTTGAAAATGTTTCAACTTTTCTCAGGAAAAGATTTATCTTTTATAAATTATTGCCTAATAATTTGTTTGATTCTTCAGGTTCCATTTTATTTTTATTTTTTATTTATTAATTTTTTTGAGACAAAGTATTACTATGTCACCCTCAGTAGAGTGCTGTGACATCACTGCTCACAGCAACCTCCAACTCTTGGGCTTAAGTGATTCTCTTGCCTTAGCCTCCCAAGTAGCTGGGACTATAGGTGCCTGCCATAATGCCTGGCTATTTTTTTATTGTAGTTGTCATTGTTGTTTAGCAGGCCCGGGCTGGGTTCCAACCCACCAGCCCCAGTGCATGTGACCAGTGCCTTAACCACTAAGCTACAGGCCCCAAGCCCATCATCTCAGATTTTGGATTCTGACCTTTCTTTCAAGGCACTGTAAGTATTGTCAATTCTGAAGTCACCACCCATCCTTCAGCTTGTCTATACATGGAATATCACTTTCTGTGTGAAAAATAGTATCTAACACACCTTCAGAGATACCCCTGCACTGATATTTTATTTGTCTTGTTTCTTTAATGGTCCAGAAAAATGAGAAATGTATACTCATTCAGAGGGCATTAGAACCTTTACTGGAAGACTACAATGAAACAGAAGGAGGGAGACATAATGTGCTCAGAAATACTTTGTTTGGATTTGTAGGAACACTCACCTCTATGAGTTCATCCTCTCACCTCTTTCTTCTCTTTTTGTGTAAACATAAGAACTCTACCTATAACCCTTCAGTAAAATGTGTTTTCATTTCAGAGCCCTTTGACATTCAGGGATGTGGCCATAGAATTCTCTCAGGAAGAGTGGACGTGCCTGGACTCTGCTCAGCAGACTTTATATAGGGACGTGATGTTGGAGAACTATAGGAACCTGGTCTCCCTGGGTGAGGATTACTTTTCTCCCGAAGGTAGGATCTATCCTTGCATACCTTTCTATTTTCCCTGATTGCCTCTTGGAACCCCCTGTGTTCTTGACTGAGATTAAAGTTGTATTTATTTAGAAATGAAAAGCTTCGTAATGTGCCATCTGAACCTTCCCTGTCCCTTTGTTTATGTTATCTGCGCCCTTCACCATACCAGGGCTGAGGTATGCTGGAAACCACATGACTTTTAAAGTAGCCAATTCTTTATTCTCTACCCCTGTGCTTTTGATTCAGTAGTTTTAGGAAGTCCACTGGACATCGGCATCTTACAGGGTTCCCTCAGCATTCACAGTGGATATTCAGTGGATGAATTTGCGAAATATTTCTCTAGATCTCTCTGTAATGTCCCCCTCTCTACTTTCATGTGGGCTGGGATTTGCGAAAAGCACCAGAACTTGATGTTCATTTATTTTTTATTTATTTATTTATTTTTGAAGACAGAGTTTCACTATGTCGCCCTCAGTAGAGCGCTGTGGTGTCACAGCTCACAGCAACCTCAGACTCTTTGGGCTTAAGTGATTGTTCTGCCTCAGCCTCCCAAGAAGCTGCCTGCCACAACACCTGGCTATTTTTTGGCTGTAGTTGCCATTGCTGTTTGTCAGGCCTGGGCTGAGCTCGAACTTGCCACCTCCAGTGTATGTGGCTGGAGCCCT